TAAACTTTTGATTTTAACATAAGTTGTATAAAATAAATTCTACATTACATAATATTTAGTACGGTTAAATTATGTAACTACACAGATCTACAGATGTATTAGAATATTGACACAAATACTATAGTAATTTTTAATTAAGAAATACTGATAATAAAATTAATATTTTTTGTTAATAATTCATTGTAATTTAAGTTTATCATGTGAAAATAATCAAAATTATAAATCTGTATAATATATCCTTAGGTAGATGTATGGTAGCCTGTAGGCTATCTACATCTTAAAATAAAATAAAACACAAAAATAATTGTTTTTTAGTTATAAATTAAGATAATAACCAGAGGACATTTTAAATTCCATTTACTATTACTAATTAGTAATTACCATTAAACTACCATTGGTAGATAATATACATAATAATATGCTCTAACAACTAAAAAGTAACAATGCAATTTTGTATGAAGTTCAAATATTGTAAAAATATAAGTAAAAATACAATAATAATTTCTTGAGTAATTTTTAATATATATAGGTACATTTAGAAAACAGTATAATGTATTAATGTATATATGGCATTAAATATTAAGCATTAACTGTTGGACAATAGCACAATACACAGAAATAAAAAACTAATATATATTAGTGTTAATAACATAATTTTTAACGTGGTCAACACACATACAGATATACAATTACTTATTGTTACTCATAATAAAAATTCATTGCCCACATAGTTATGTTGAATGCGAATGTAATATATAACAAATTCCTCTGGATATTTTATTACTCACTGATAAATATGATAAAATATAAATTTTTAATTTTAATTTCACATAGATAATCAATTAGATAAAATGGTAAATTGATTAAATTAAATACAGGTTATAAACATATCCACACATATAGGCATAAATTATATATTTTTATAGGTATCTACAAACGAAAATCTAGATTTTTTACTACCAAGATAAGGGCCGGGCCACACATAGCGGTTGAACCGCGTAAGTGTGAACGCATATCAGGCGGTTGCATTTAAAATCAAACAATCTGAATTTGTTGGGCGGTTCAACCGCTATGTGTGGCCCGGCCCTAATAGAGCCATATTATCGCATATTATGTATGTATTTGGGACCTCTCTCTCTAAGTGGTACCTAGTTGAAAAAAATTGTATTTTTAGACAATTGCAAGAAACTACAAAACATTTTCAACATTGATCTTTGGAAAATTAGTTTCACAAAACTCCACTCTTTAAAATGTGTAACAAATTAAACAATAGGTAATACAAATATGTACCCAACAAATTTAATCACAAACAGTAGCCTGCTACTATAATTACTACTCTGGTGAGCTAACAAAAACTATTCATTAATATGTCATACAATAAATGAGTTATCATTAAAATTCTAAATTAATTAATAGTAAATTTAAATTTATATTTTTATCTTTACAATAGATATTTTCTATAAAGCAATTCCATAAAATATTTGAATAAGTGGAAAAATGGTAATTATTGATGGTTGGTAATTTGGTAAAATTTAATAATATCAATTAAATATGTAGATACAATTGATTTATACAGTCAAGAATGTACTTAATACATAAAACATTTTTTATTCAAACATATTGTCATATAGATACAGCTAATATACAACTCAATTTGAAAAAAAATATATACACCTACATTATAATATATACAGCGGTCGAAGTGGGGGGGATGCGGAGGGATGACATCCCACTACTTTTTTGTATTTACATTTTTCATCCCTCTACTTATTTTGTCTAGAATAACGCATTCCTCCTAAGACTTGTGTTTTAAAATGAAATAATTATTATGATTTTTATATTTATACCTATGTATAAGAAAACTTTTTATTTTTCGTATAGGCCGTTTCGCAATCATATTATCTATACCCGTATTTAGAGCCACGGATTAAGAATTTACATATACCTTAGTCGTGTTTAGAGCTAATAACATAATATTTTAATATCACAAAACAATAACAATATTGATGATAATAAGTCCACAGAAAAATATTATAAATAAAATATTTTATCAGTTTTTTTTGAAAAATTTGAAAATATGTTATTTATTTGTTTAGTTTTAAAGATTATTGATGATCGAAAAAGATTGTAGTATTCTGATGCATAAACAAAATGTGAACTATAAAAAAAAAATACTATACAAGGTGTGAAGAATGTTATGATGATATCAGGAAATCTGAATTGTAAGGCATCCCTCCACTTATCTTGAGCCATTTCGACCACTGAATGTCTGAATATATAAATGTATATTCATCAGTGGTGTGTAACATAGCGTCTAAGTGTTGCTCGGGCAACACCTTAAATAAGGGTGGGTGGGTGTTTATAGATGAAAAAATAGGTAATTTTATAGGCCGGTATTACAGTATTATGAGGGGTAGGTCTACTAAAATTATTTGAGCAACACCAATTTTTTTTATGATACACGCCACTGAAACATAATAATTAAATTCCTAGATAATATACCTACAATTTATCTATTGAATACTCATTCATAATTTAAGGTGTTTAAACTATATTTTACTTCCTAGTGGCTTTAGTCTTTAGTGTTTGTAAAAGGTTTTAACTAAATTTAAAAAAAAATACTTTTACAGAGTTTTCTGTTATATTTAATGATATCATGCATCATATAGGTATAAAAAGTAATGTAATGAAAGATTATGACTAATAATTAACCAACACAAGTCATACATTTTTTCCAAATATTAAAATTCTATAGATTACCTAACCTAACCAACACTAACTAATTGAGCACAACAATTTAAATTTGTATGCAATTTTACATCTTTTTCTTAATTATATAAAATAAATAATTAAATATCATCAAATAAATAATATATTATATGTGTTTTCTGTTCAGTTTGATACTAGAATGATATTGACTACTGATAGATACTAGTAAAAACTAATAATGACTTGTACTACTTAAGCTTTTCTGTTATCTTGAATAAAGCCAGTCTCAATTCCGTAATCTTGACTACCACCCGATGCCAAGACTACCTGGCCGAAAATAGTCAATTGTCTTTTTTATCTATAATAGGTTGTTTGTATTGTTAGATTGCAGAAATTATGTCGATTAAATTGTGTTTAAAAGATTTGAATATGACTCATGGTTTAGAATAATTACATGCAAGAAGTATGTACAGTAGCTGTAGAAAATATCTGAATATAAAAGATGAAGGTCTTAGATGCAGTATAGAGAAAATATTATATTACTGCAAGAGCATTACTATATACAACAGTGGTTAAGTGGAGACATTTGTTGCAAAACTAATTAGACATTTTAATCAAGTGAACAAAAATGACTGTCCATCAACGTGTTAAGTAGAGTGGTAGTCAAAATAACGGAATCGCATCAAACTTGTAGTCATAACATAGGGCGGCATTCGAGATTATGGAAAAGAACCACTTTAATAACTTGAATTAAATTAAGATGCCATAGGTAATCTAATTTGTTTATTTCAGCAGAGTTTAATGATTATATTAAATTACAATTAAAATTTGTAACATATTTTTTTAAATAGTAATAAGACTAAAAGTGTTAAAAAATTATCATTTTTTTAGTTTTTATTTGAATTCCATATCGACTTCACAAAAGCTATAAAAAAAAAACTGTTCATTGCATTTTTAATTTGTTAGTTGTAGGTACAGTTTCCATTTTTAAAACATTATAAAATATTATAAAAGTCTGTAAAAATGATCAATAATGATTAAAGGTATCACAGAGAACAAAATATAAACTACAACATACCTAAATTGTTTCCTAAAAAATTGTAATAATCAAAAAGTCAAATGACTTCTGGGAAGGAAGGACATTTAAAGAGGTTAACAACTAAAGACATTTTACATTTCGATATTATATATCTTTTTACTTTTGAATGTCCACGAAAGTCAGAAAAATTAGTGTATAAAATGTAGGCAAGGGTGCCAATCATAAGCACAACTACCCTCTCCTAAATTACTCATAGCCCCTCAAGAAAAACTAATCTTCAAACTCATTTAATATTTATTCAAAATGATTAAATAATAATAAAGTATTTAGCATATTTCACAGTAAAAATGCTGTACATGAAATGCGACATACTTAACAATAACAGAGCACAATAGACATAAATTCATAAGACATGCCTAAGACATTTTGTAATATTTATTTGTTTAATGGTCCGTAAAGTGTATTTATAATTTGTTGTCAAATTGTATATTGGCCTATTTCATTGTGGATAACTCTGGTCATATTCTGTCAAAGTTAAAAGTGTATTGTATACCTAAATACCTTTTAAAAACTTGTTAAATGATGATACATCCCCGACATTAAATTTGTTAAGTACAACATGAAACAAGTTGTGAATACTTTCATTGGTAATAAATAAATATGAAACTAAAGTAAAAATAATTATTTTTTATGATAAAAATGGGCAATTAATAGATGGGGATGGAGCGAACAGCAAAGCTCCCTTGGGTTACTCTTTAGAAAATGTATGGAGGGGCTTCAGCCTCCCCCGCTAAAAAAAATATACTTGGGCTAGTTGCTCCACTGGTGCCAGTCGCATAGTGATTACTCCCCTCCATTTGATTTTATTCAAATAGATGTTTATGATAGGCTATGTTTGTTTTATACTTTTATTTGAACGTATAGAATAGAGCAATAAGAGCAATAAAATTAAAAGTTCTTTATGATGTATAATCACATGTCTATTATGTTACAACCTCAAACAATCAATAGTTGTTGATATAAAAAAAAAGATGATTACATTTACATGTACTTATGTTTAAAAGTTAAAGCTGTGTATAAATACATATTAGGATTAGGTACCTACTAGGGAACATTGGTTACATTACTCGAAAGAATTTGATTATACCAAAGTTTCCCAGAGTAAGCATCCACCACAAATATAAGATTTAATAGGTATTATTCATCAGAATTATATCGATCATTGTAAAAATGAGAAAGAAAACATACATACCATTGAATGGCCAAATATGTGCAGGTAACGAGTGAGCCGAATAAACACGTCCAAGACTGATATTAGCAGTGACTGTTGGACTGTCCAAGTTCTGGTCGTCGTTTGAGCTGCTGTCGGCTTCCAAGACATCTGTGATATCGAACCGCGGACTCGTGGAGTTGCTGTTGTTGTCATGGCCATTGGGCACACCGGACAGAGACCTGGCGCGCTGTCTGTCATTGGCTACAGCGCTGGGCAGGGAACGCAAAATGCTGAACCCAGGGTTGCCGGCAGTCTGCACAGAATCCGACCCGTTGCCTGAAGAGAACGACCGGTGGTCGCCGTGGCCGGCGCCGCCGTCATCGCCGTTGGCCGTGCTGGCCTTTGCTCCCATCTCGCATGCAACGAACGTTCACGCGAACACCGCTGCAGGACGACGTGAACGAACACGGACGGCGGAGCTTTGAGTTTTTGGTCTCTATCGCGTGCGTCGTACTATGAGCGATCGACCACCGAAAGACGACGTTCCGTCATGAGGACGACGACGTCCGAAACATTAGACATCGATCGCAGCACCAAAAATCTACTGCCGACGTGTACTGCTGATGGCGCACTTCAAGTCACGACGGAAGACAGGAATCCACTTGGAATTGCGCACAGAAAACCAAACGCGACGGTTCCGACGACGGTATGAGAACGAAAACAAAGAAAATTAATAATAATGACGATATGATAATAACAAATAATAACAACAATACCACGAAAATTACGACGAAGACTGTCTTAACGTAATAACTACTATAATATAAATTAATTATTTAGTTGTCGTTTCAATCATTAATTTTATACTACTTTTTTTCCGTCCTAGCTTTTCGTTCGTCGTCTCTCCGATACTCAAGTCTTTATGTCGTCGCGCAGTTACAAATTGGTAGTTCTGATAATGATGATAACATGGTCAACTGGTGAAATAAAAAAAAAATTAAATAACAAGTCCAGACGTATAACACAGCGACGAGGGAGGGGGATTCCTGATCAGCTGTTCCCCTACGTACTAAGGTGCGTTGCCTGAACAGCCAGACTGACGATGGCCTGTACGGCTTATCTGATTTTGATAACGACATGCGGCCAAATTTTTGATTGTTGGAAGGCAACGCGAAAACCGCTATCAGCGATTAATATTTATCAATATTATCAATTATCAGAAGACACACCCTTTATACTCAAGTACTCAACCAGCATTCATGACTTTGTAGTAATATTATATTAATGATATTAATATAATATTATGATCATTGATTTTTAATTTTTATTTGTACTCGCATTCTCATTTCTCTCTCTCTCTTTATCTATTTATTCTCAAGACGTAACAGTGTAAACGTACGTAATAGTTATTAATATAATAATTTTTAATTTTGTAGTAATCTTAGAAAATTTTATTTTGTATGTATCAATATATTATAATAATAATAATAACGTGAAAATATTACTGTACTATAAATTATTAAACATTAATAGTTCATTATATCTATTTTAAATGTGAATGAAAGATGAATTCTATAAGAGTGTAGTGAGAACAATTATGTTGTATTGTTTGGTTGACATGGAAATAGAGCAGATGATGAGAATGCTTAGATAAATGAGTGGACTGATGGAAGAAGATAGGAAAAGGAATGAATATGTAAACTGTAAAGACTGTAAGAAGAAGAATATTGTGGTGTCGACCGTTCGCAAGATAAGAGAGAATAAACTGAGATGGTTTGGGTACACTACGTTTTTAGGAGAGAGAAATCAGAAGATGTAAGAATGGTTATTATAATGTATGATGAAAGAAAAATAGGTGTTTGAATGTGATTGAGGGCGATATTATAGGAGTGCTGGTGGTAGGCGTAGATGTTGTGGGAGATTGTTTTATTTGGAGGTTTAGGGATACGGATGACAGACCAAAAATAAGTTGGGATACAGGAAAACAAAGATTTTAATGTATTAGAATTTATGTTTTGTTTATAATAGTTTTTAAATTGTATTGAAGATTGTCCTATGTAAAAAGTACAATTATTATCTGTGTAGAAACAAACTAAAATAGTTGTTAAACTAATTTATTTGTATAAATTTGTTTTTAATCATTTTTCTAATTATTTATTTATATGTATTTTTTCCTACGCAAAATGTATTAAGTCTTTTGTATTTTGTATGTATTGTGTCCATCACATTAATCATTGTCTATAAATTAGTAATTACTTATATTCTCTGAGATTGTGGGTCAAATCAATAGAAACTTTTTTTAGTTTACCATAAAACTCAATTTCCCATTATATATTGTAAAATATGTTTGCCTGCATATACTTGAAAATGTCCCTTATTTTCACATATTATTATGTATAGATTTGTATTGAGTGAAATTTATGCTTTGTTGTTTTATATTTACATTGTATATATTTTGTATCAAATGCCCATATATTAATTTATTAAAACTATTTTGAATTTTCTATTGATTGCGTTATATGATTATGTACATTCCTATATAATATTTCCTTTTCCACTGAAGGTTAATATTAAAACAATAATTTGGTTTAAATACTTCAAACATGGTGAAGTCAAACACTTGATATTCAGATTCAATTTTTAAATTGTATGGATTTTAATGTCTATTTTGCACTATTATTAATCTGAGTATTAATTTTAATAGTAATCAAAATGCCTATATTTTAATTTTCAGGCAATAAATCTACTATGGATAACAGACACTTAGCACTATTATTCGATAATAATAATTTAATGTATGGATTACTACAATATCAAAGACATGTTCAACAATTAGTTGTTGCTATTGGTATGAACGATTCTGATGGTTAGTCTTTTTAAGATATATTTAATACAATAGGTACCTCATATCATAATTATTATTGTACGCACAAGATAATCGGTGTAGTCTACTAGTCTGGTACATGGGCGCAAATAGCGTTTGGGATATGGGGGCGGGTGGCTAAAGCCTTACTTTAATAATATTGAATAAGCTTAAAACAATATTTGGGGGGCTATGGACATTTTTGAGAGGGCTAAGCCCCTAAAGCCCCCCCTATATGCGCCTATGGGTGTATAGTAAAAATATATAATACTAATCTATTAACAGATGTACTCGCCTATGCCTCAGGTATTTGAGAACACTTAAATGTAAATAATCATTAATTAATTGTGTTTATGAATTTAATATTGAATGTTCCTAATGATGTCGTTTTTGCATGCAAATGCATCAATGCATGTTTATTTTAGTCACTAGCGAGAGTGATGACGAATTAAACGATTCTTCATACCATATAAACTATATGAGACTTAGAGATCGGACATTCAAGGAACATTTTAGAATGCATAAGTCTACATTTGAAGTACATAATTTATAATTTATTTTTTTTTTCATTAACAGTAGTACTGCTGTTATAATTTACTATATTTCACAAAATATATGTATTTTATTATTAAATAGGCATTTTACAATGACATGGCACCACATATTAGTAAGACTAACAGACCAGTCAAAGTCCCACTAGACATCCAACTGTTAGGATTTATATGGATAATGGCTACCCCGGATTGCTATAGGAGTGTTGCTGAGAGATTCCAAATGAATCGTGGTACACTTCACAAAATTTACCGAACGATTGTCTCGAGTATAGTTTCTGAAGCACACAGGTATATTCAATGGCCCACAAACTTGAAAAAAGATGAGGTGAGAACTTGTACCTATGGTATGGTTGCCAGACGTATTTAAATACCGATTTTGAACTTAAAACTATTATAAATGTTTACAGTATCTAATTAATACTTTTGTCATTTATCCTGTGATTGTCATATTTTGTTATTAAATTTTTAAGTTTAAATTAAAAATAATCTTTACGACTTTATTATCTTCTTAGGTTGATCATTATTTATTGTTTTAATATAGTATCATAATTTAAACACATAAGTATTATGGTGGCACTCAATTTTTTTTTTTGGTTTTCTCTAGTTTTTAATTTGATCTATTTATTTATAAAAATGATATTGTGAATGTTTGAAAAAATGTAATAAACTTTACGAGGTCGCTCATTGCACTTAAAAATAGCAAATATAAGATAATAATATACCTAAGATAATTTTATTTTTGTAATGCTAAATTTAATTATAAATATCGAGTATACCTTGTTAGGTAGTCTGTGATGAATGCATTAAATTTGACTTAAATGATAAATCATTGTATACAATGAAAAATGATTCTGGCAACTTTTACTTATTCTATAATCAATATTATATCCTATTATGATCTAATACATTACTTAATTTTTAAATATATTTAGATTAAAGATGAATTTTTGGTGGCCAGTGGTTATCCAGGAATAGTTGGAGCAATTGATGGATGCTATATTCAAATCAAACAACCACGTGGCGATAAACACTATAGATATATCAACAGAAAAAAAGATTATGCTGTGATCATACAGGGAGTGTGCGCATATAATAAAAAGCTACTGGACGTCCATATTGGAGAAGTAGGCAGTATGCACGATGCTCGAGTGTTTCGCCGAAGTGAACTATCAAATAGTCTACCAAGATTGCTGGGTCCAGATGAGCACATTGTAGGAGACTCAGCATATCCGATAAGTCCACACATGATGGTGCCATATAAAGACAATGGTGTCTTAACGGCAAAACAAAAGAGTCACAACAATAAACTGAGCAAGGGAAGAGTAAAAATTGAAAACACGTGGGCACAATTAAAAGGGAAATGGAGACGTCTAAAGTATTTAGATATGGATAGGATGGATTATGTTGTAGATCACATTTGTGCAAGTTGTGTCTTACATAATGTTGCACTTGACGGTTCAGATGATGAGTATGAGGTAGAGGAAAATGAAGAGATTGATGTGTTTGAGGAGAGAGATGTAGATTTTGAAAGAATGAAAAGAGAAGGTCAAGTTAAGAGGGATATGTTGGCTGATCTATTATATAGTAACTAAATAAAAATAGTTTTAAGTACTTGTACTTTAAAAATAAATTTATTTTATTCAGAAAAATAAATTGCTAAATTTAATAATTAGTGATAATTAATAATATACCATAATGAATAAATTTAATTTTAGAAAAAAAATTGTTTTCTTTACTAATAATGAGAATGATTGTGTGTTATGTGTATGTATGTATTGTTTGTATGTTAGTATGTAGATTGGTTTTTTTATGATATTTAAATTTTTAAGCAAGTTATGATTATGTAAATGTTGCAATTTATAAACTGTCATAACTTTTATACAGTATAAAAATCAAAATATCATAAAAAATTCAATATACGAACATAGATAATATTTAATACTTTAAGTTAGGTTAAGTTTGAAAAAAGGTCAACTTAAACTATTTTCTTTCTAT